TGGTGGGCGTTTCTTAATTCTCCCCACCTCTGTTCGTCCCGCACTATAAATTATAACAACAATTATTATAATTGTCATTTATAACACCAATTAGTCGATCAGATGAAGGTTGCGTGTGCTGGGGTAAAACTGTGCCTACTTGAAACCACCTCCGATTAGCACGGTTGGCTACGTACGGTGCGATAGAAGTTAACCGATTTCAACTTTTTTTGTATTTTACCAGGTAAATATCCCTTTTTTTCAGAAGCGACCCGTCCACAAATGATAGCGCAATGAAGTGGTTTCTCACGTGGAAATGTACAGCAGCCAAATACTCCAAAACACGCGTCGATTTGAAATGTGGAGGGGAAACCCCGAAGAGGAATCCACGCGACCACGGGGGGAAGAGACATACACACTCCAAATATGGAGGCGTCAGGATCGGCATCGAACCCATGACCTCCTGTATACCAGGATAGGTAGCTAACATCTCGCCAGAGCTCAACATAGCGCATCCGTCATCGTGAAAGAGCAGACGGGAATTTTCGTTCAGTAGGTTCTCTGTAGGTCCCTCCACTGGAGGTGCTTGCGGTGGCATTAACGAGCACTTGCAGGACTGCAACCTTTACCTTTCTTATCCTCTGCTGGAAACGTAGCCACCCCCCCCCCCCCCAACGCCGATTGCTGATTGATTGTCTGCGATATCAATTAAACATGTATTTGTGAGCTCGAGCCAATCAGGCGTGAGACGTCATTCCCAATTCTGGCGAGTTAGCCGCTTGGTTTTCAGCATTTGTCGGCAAATGGGGAGTGATGTGGACTGTGTAAGAGCATTGAATAAGCTTTGCCCCGTGTCTGCCGAGTGAAAGGTAAGGAGCACCAGTGTCTTAGCCGTATCAACTGTACTTCACAATTATTGGCAGTGGCTTAAGCCGCATTGAAGTGTCTCAGTTAATTAGCTGATCCATTACACAAAGTGAATGCAGCTGTGACCCCCCCTCCCTCCCCCTGTTGCACAACTTGAATACAGAAGCGGTTGAGCCCGCGTGGGTAAAATCCACGCGTGCACAGACTCGGATGTGCCACCGGATGGATAGATGGGGCCGTGGCTTTTATCTTATTTGTGTTCTTTTACTGCCGCTTTGTTCCACATTTGACTTTCTACGGAACTGGTCTCTGCCATAAAATTCCCCAGCGTCGGAAATTTGGCTCGCTTCGTTTTTTTTTTTCCCCCCATTGTGAATGACATTTTTTGTGGGAATAAGAACACTTCATTAGAGAACATACGCCGGTTAATGGCACCATTCAAAACTGTTAATACAATTTGGGGGGATCTTGACCAGACGTGGCTAGAAGGGATGGTCCAGAATAATGACGGACTAACAGCCAAAGAATGGCACGTGTGTGTCAGGCACGTCAATGACCCCGTTGTAAGCGAGAATAGAAACAAAATATCAGCATATCCACTTGCACCTGAAATTAAGTTCGCCTGCCAATGTCGGGTGTGTTAACTGGGAGCAAAGCCACAGCGTTGACCAGAGGGGGGCATCGTCAGTGAAATGAATGGCACAACATGCAGCATGAAATAAGCAACACAGGGCCTACACAAAAGATAAATATGTTGATTTGAGGCTTTCGTGACTACATGCATTCATACTCTTTGGTTCTTTCGGTAAAGTCACGTAGATGGAAAATATAAATAAATAAAAAATAATAGATCACGACGTTTCGATCGCAACAACAATTTTATGTATTTTTATTTTCCATCTACGTGACTTTACCGAAAGAACCGAAGAGTATGAAAGAGAAATATGCATGGAAAAAATATACAGTGCCGCAGTTCCATATGGACCACAGCAGACACACGGGAGGCGGACAAAGATAGACACAACCCTCTCGAGAGGATATGGGGAACATTGCATGCTTGCGATTACATTGAGAGAGAGAGAGAAGAGTAACGCATGGAGGAGAGAACATACGCAGGTTAATGGCCTCATCATTCAACCCATGTTCAGAAACGTGGGGCTTGGGCAGGACACGTCATGATGAGACGGCACGATGACCAGCGGTCAAGAATAATGACCGAGAGAATGGGGACGCGTTCCGGAGAGGACGTCCACTGAAGTTGTGGAGCGATGACATTCACTCGTTTTCCCTGTTGCATGTGTTGAACTTTTTGTGCACCGCACGCAGCCAACCGTGTTATATTGGAGGCGCGGGCGGAGAACAAAAAAAACACACATCAGTTCTTAAAGAAACTAGTTTTCGATCCAGATTTAAACGTGCATAGCTCCACTCGCTTCCCACTCGATCGTTGCATCGCAGAATCGTGCGAGATGACCGTTTGTTGAGGCTTTCATCCAGCAGTGGATTTCTAATAGCTGATTATGCGATTTTTGTTTTTTTGTTGTGGAGAGATATCGCAGTGATTAAGCGCACTGCAATATGAATCCGGCGACCTGAATTCGATTGCCGCTCCACGGTTAACATCTGTGGTGTGTGTGATATCTCCTCTGGCCATGGTGGTGAAGTATGGTCATATCTACATGATTAACACAGCATGAGGAGGTCTCCAGCAGTGGATTTATATAGGCTGTAAATTCTCAATTCCAGTGCACATTGTTACGGATACACAATGTCATTATTGTGTGTTAGGGTCGTTCTAAATTAGTTCTTAGACTATATAGACCATTCAACGTAGGTTGTGCATCATTGAATACGTTTGTTTAATGCATTTCGTGTATTTTCCCCTCAACTTTGTATTTCTTAAATCCTACTACATCTACTTTACATATTCTAACATATAACTACTGAGGCAAATTATACAGTATAAATTTTGATATTTTTGCGTAGCATTAACTGATTTAAAATGTTTTATAAATCATCCAGAAACCTTTGTCAATACACAGCTGGATGAAGGCCCCCCCATGCCGAGTCGGTTGTGAGGGGGATATTTGACCATACTTCACCACGCTGGTCATTGCGGGTTTTCCGCAAAATGCGGTAGGGCGCGCCCTCCCTATACAGTTTCACATTTCTCTGGTCATATTTGTTTTACTTATTTACGAAACAATATTTAGACCAAGTGGCCGTGACGTTTCCGCGTGTTTAAAATTGGACGTCGATGTAATAAGGCAATCGTAAATTAATAATAGACTGCCAAAGCGAGGAGAGGACATTGAAATGGATTGAGCAATGAAAAAAATCCCAATAACCTAAAAAAAAGCCCTTTGCGCCTAAAGCTAACTCCAGTATACACACGTGTACCGCTCTCTTGGTCAAGCTATATTTAAGTCTGTCTTGAAAACGCACCTCCTTAAAACTGTCCTTTAAGGCCCCCCTCCCCACATCGCACTGGCCGTTTGCCCTGTGCAGGTTCTCTGTTTCGTTTCTGCTTTCCACACCACGAGGCGAAATTTGGGGATCTACGGATGAAATTCGCCTCACGAATGTAAAATAGTATTATGAATCCACTGCTGGATGAGGGCCTCCCTACACCGTGCCGGTCGTGACAGCGAGCTACTTGAGACTTTACGCTAAGCCAGGACGGGTTTGAAGGCGGATTTGACTTCACAGCGGCCTTTGCCATGGTAACTACACTGCCGAATTACTACTTACACGTACACAACAATGCCCTATTTGCGCACTGGAATACGATTTGAGAGTGTAGGGTTACTACATTGTTATACGGATGAGCCTCTTGAATGTGCGGACACAAGTGATGATCACGTGGACTTACTTGTACGCTGGATTATGACAAATACAATGCATTGTCTTTTTTTTACTTAAGATCGGGAAGGGACATGAGGAGGTACATCAATGAGATGGAACGATTTTAATATCAGATCCTCCGCATGAATCGGGACGGCTTAGGAAGACCTCGCATGGAAGTAAATTGATCGCAGCTGATGATGACGACGACGATGTCGAAGAGCTTATTGTGACTTTAGAAGCCTGTTCTTTCGGGATAGTCATGGCTAAACATAAATACAGAGACACAGCCAACAAGGTGGATACTCTCTTCCAGGTTAAATAAGGAAGGTGACCATGGGACATTGGACGTTAATCTATCATGCTGCTTGCATTTTCTCAGCTTAAAAAAAGGTATCTACATCTGGGAGTGGATTGACCATGACTAAAAGATTATGATGAAAATGCGCCTACTAATTACCAATTGGTAAGACATTGGTGTAACGTAATACTGTAAGAGTGATACTAAACTCTGCATCAGGATTGCATTGTAGGCCTAATGTTTTCCTTTTCCGCCGTAAATATGTTTTGCTTAAGAGGTCCATACTTAAATACATTGTAAAAAAAAACATTCATTGTTACCATTTAAGTGGTTAATCAATTTACGTCCCCCTCCCCCACTATCCCCCCCACTCTATTACCCACAAATAATAAGTGCCGTTCAGTAGTGAATAATACGGACACATTTGCAAGCGGGTTGTTCCTACCGATGCATTTGTATTTAATGTGAAGAAACAAATCAAATTTCTTATTTTCCTCGTACATGTGCAGTTTAATCCTGACTAATTTATACTTCACTTCCTTATCGTCCGAAAACGCTTTTCTCAAATTTAATTGCAGTTTCGTGCCAAACTGCAGTAACTTTGAGCCCATCGGTCGCCTCGCATTTGCTCCCTGGAATTCGCTTTTTTTTCTCTTTCGACCCCCTGCCTCTCCCCATGGCCCTCCCCGCGACTAACAAAGAAAGAAAAAAATCCCAAAAGCGTCCCGTAAAAAAAAATCCCTCCAAAAAACACGAAACGAAAGTCGCGTAAATGCACGAATGCATTGCGTCACTTTCTCGAAATGCATGGGGGAGTTGCAGTTGGGGGAAGGGGTGGGTGCTAGCGGCCGCTCGCAATTGCCTCGTGCCGCCTGACGCCATCGCACAACCCACGCACACACACACACAGGAGCCCGCTGTGTGACGTCGGCTCGCGTGTTGAGAGCGCCGTGAATAAAACCACCCACCCCCAGCCACTGCTATTGGTTGGCAAGCAACACGACCGCGTTCTTCCCACCCCCACTCATCTCTTATGCCTGAATCCCACGGCGTTAAGACCTCAGCCACAGCTCGTCTCTCACTCCACCGCGACGCATCTCGCCATTCTCCGCTGCCGGCGTTGCTTGCGACTGGAGCGCATTCTTATTTTTATTATTATATCGTCCAGTTATTTCTCCGGGAGAACGGTGCTTGCACCATCGCCACCCCCCTCCCCCTCCTCCAATCGTTTAAATTAAAAAAAGGTGATTCGCGACAAGACGCTTCTTACTCCAGCATGATTCCGTGCCGGCGAGCTGTGCTGGGCATCGTGCTGGCTTGCCTCTTCTGCGTATCCAGCGCCAGAAAGGGTAAGGGGAGCTTAACGGCAGTAGGGATGAGAGCGAGCGAGCGAGAGAGAGAGATCGTGTGTCGGTGCCATGCGGGAAGAAGATGAGGATGATGATGAGGATGATGAAGGCGCTTTCTCGTTCGGCTTGTTGATCGCTATACGCGGGTGTGATGTGCGTCCGTGCGTCATCCAGCCAGAGAGGGGAGGATTTCACCACAGCCCTTTTTAATTTATTGGCAGACGATTCATAGTCGCGTTACGGTCGCAACTGATCAAACGGGCACGAGAGTGCTGGTCATCATCATGATCATCGGTGGCCATGGTCGTTCCACTGCTGGATGAAGGCCTCTCCAAGCCGTTGCAGCTTCGCACGATGCTGCGAGGTTATTAATACTGTACAAGATATCAATCAAAGCACTTGCGCATCAACTGATTTCATAGCGCTTCATCTCATTTGTGATGTTGCTACACTACTACTAATAAAAAATTACCGTAGTATGAGAAAAATATAATCAGAGCAATAGTCGTTTTTAAGCAATGGGAAGGAGCGTTGATAGTACTGTATATGTTTTTTTACGATATGCCGCTACGAAATCTTGCGTTGTCCGAACTGAGTGCCGCTGTAATTCATATCTACCCCTGATATGCTTGAATGCGCTGGACAATTAAAGTCCCTGTGGAATTGAGGCGAGCACAATGTGACCCTCCTCCCAGCCCCATTCAAACGTGATGGGGGTATAACTGGGTAAACATTGTGCGTGTTGATTTTTTTTAAAAACCCCTTTCCAGAATCGCGGCAATACCGATTTGCGCTCGCGTACAAACCGCGAACGTGGAAATTTACCCCAACCCCCAATAACAAACAATCCACTGTTTCATAATTATCAACATTGCTGCGTGCAAATGTGCGATGCTTGCGCTTGTGAGATAATAAATCTGAGTTGCCTGGTTGGCAGTGTGTCGCGTTGCTTTAGTCACGCGTGTAAAACGGTTGTTTAGAATTTAAATTGCAGGGAATATTTATTGTCGATTCCTTTCCCGTTGCGTTTAGCCTTCAAAACCCAAGTACATGAGTGCGCATAACGAGACACACGCAGTGTGCATTGTATATAGCGTTCGTGGTAACGTAACTAATTGCTGACTCTGCACTATTACAGAATAAATCGTGATTATTTTTTTTATAATCCACTGTAAAAAAAATATGTAAAATTACTTTCTGGTTTCCCATCCTTTTCAAGGACATTGAGCCGCATTAATAATCTATTTAATCCAACCTCAACCAGACGACGAATGTATGCGTAAGAAGTGTACATAATTGCTGGGAATGCTGTAATGCATTCACATATTTCCCCCCACGTTTCCAAAATATACAAAAAAATGTTCGCGGTGTGCAACCAACGAGCTCGTCTTTTTAAACAGCAGCAACGAACCCAATGTGCAGATGGTGACGTTGGACAAAAAAAAAAGAGAGATGTGCTGGAATCCTTTGTTCACGGATTAGGATGTCCCCGAGACACAATAGCTCTGTGCCAGTGTGAGTTGGACCAATTCAAACCGCTCACCAGTGTCAGTGGGCGCCACTCTCGATCCGTCTCTCTCCATCCCACCCACCCCCCACCGAGTTGCCTGGCCATCCTCGACTCGCAGCGTCCCTTTGCTCCGTGCTTGCTCCGTGCAATGCCACTGCTGTACCGAACTGTGTGTGCTAGGCTCGCTTCACACACACACACGCACTCGCTGCGATCACCTTTGTGCGATTCTCGTTATTACTACAGCACGTATGGTATTATTATTATTATATCGGGCCAGAAAGCATCTTTCACAGGATGCGTGTCATAGTCACCATCGTCGTCATCGATGGCCACGATCAATCGACTGCTGGATGAAGACCTGCCTTGTTGGCCATGAGGGTTATATGACCTTGCTTCATTCGGTCAGTACGGGTTAGTAATTGCGGGGGGGGGGGGGGGTGGTATAGAATGGGGCGACCAGCACCAGTTAGGATATTACTCGCCACTGATGTTAGCCGTGGCAGGTAATCAAGTTCAGGCAGCTGGCTTTATGCCGCAGTGTGCTACCCACTGCGCCATCACTATCACAATTAATGCTGTATCGTCATCCAGCTGTGGTATAACCACTGCTGGATGAACGCCACCCTAAGCCATCGTCATCTCTTACGAACCTGCGACGCATCGAACCAACCCAGGCACCATCAGCGCGTTCCGTTCCTTCGCTGCCACTCCGTCATTAATCTTTGACCATCAATCCCTTCTTCCAGCCATGTCGTTTCTTAACCGCTTGAATGATGCCATTAATCTGCATATGCCGTCTCATCCATGTTCGTCTTTTCTGCATCGCGAGCGTATAGGGATAAACCATTTGCGATGTTCCGCATATCCTCCAGAGAGGTTGTCTATCTTTGTCCCCCTGCCGTGTGCTTGGCGTGGTCCATATGCTCATGCGGTACTGTATTTATTTTCCATGCATGTGCCTCTCTTGTGTACGTCCTGTGGTTCGTTTCATGCTCCACGATGTTGTGCCATTCATTCACTGACGATGCCCCCCCTCCGCCCCCCCCCTTCCGCCCCCTTGTTGTTCGTGCCGTAACTTGCTTTGGCCCCAGTTAAAACACCCAATTCTCGGGGTTTTCTTTTTTCACTGCAGCTGGAAAAATGGTGGTGTTGATATTTTGTTGATATTTTCTGTTACTTGCGTCATATTAGCCTCTGCGACACAGCCCAGTTGCAAGGGTGTGTTTGGTCATTCTTCCACGTGTTACGTGATCCATGGGAGGCCGTGTCATTGCATACGAGCAATAGCACTCCGCACTTTGATGGCAGTGTACAGTGAGGGAAAAAAGTATTTGACCCCCTGCTGATTTTGTACGTTTGCCCACTGACAAAGAAATGATCAGTCTATAATTTTAATGGTAGGTTTATTTTAACAGTGAGAGACAGAATAACAACAAGAAAATCCAGAAAAACGCATGTCAAAAATGTTATAAATTGATTTGCATTTTAATGAGGGAAATAAGTATTTGACCCCTTCTCAATCAGAAAGATTTCTGGCTCCTAGGTGTCTTTTATACAGGTAACGAGCTCAGATTAGGAGCACACTCTTAAAGGGAGTGATCCTAATCTCAGCTTGCTACCTGGATAAAAGACACCTATCCACAGAAGCAATCAATCAATCAGATTCCAAACTCTCCACCATGGCCAAGACCAAAGAGCTCTCCAAGGATGTCAGGGCCAAGATTGTAGACCTACACAAGGCTGGAATGGGCTACAAGACCATTGCCAAGCAGCTTGGTGAGAAGGTGACAATAGTTGGTGCGATTATTCGCAAATGGAAGAAACACAAAAGAACTGTCAATCTCCCTCGGCCTGGGGCTCCATGCAAGATCTCACCTCGTGGAGTTGCAATGATCATGAGAATGGGAGGATCTTGTCAATGATCTCAAGGCAACTGGGACCATAGTCACCAAGAAAACAATTGGTAACACACTACGCCCTGAAGGACTGAAATCATGCAGCGCCCGCAAGGTCTCCCTGCTCAAGAAAGCACATATAAATGCCTGTCTGAAGTTTGCCAATGAACATCTGAATGATTCAGAGGACAACTGGGTGAAAGTGTTGTGGTCAGATGAGACCAAAATGGAGCTCTTTGGCATCAACTCAACTCGCCGTGTATGGAGGAGGAGGAGGAATGCTGCCTATGACCCCAAGAACACCATCCCCACCGTCAAACATGGAGGTGGAAACATTATGCTTTGGGGGGGTTTTCTGCTAAGGGGACAGGACAACTTCACCGCATCAATGGGACAATGGACGGGGCCATGTACCGTCAAATCTTGGGTGAGAACCTCCTTCCCTCAGCCAGGGCATTGAAAATGGGTCATGGATGGGTATTCCAGCATGACAATGACCCAAAACACACGGTCAAGGGAACAAAGGAGTAGCTCAAGAAGAAGCACATTAAGGTCCTGGAGTGGCCTAGCCAGTCTCTAGACCTTAATCCCATAGAAAATCTGTGGAGGGAGCTGAAGGTTCGAGTTGCCAAGCGTCAGCCTCGAAACCTTAATGACTTGGAGAAGATCTGCAAAGAGGAGTGGGACAACATCCCTCCTGAGATGTGTGCAAACCTGGTGGCCAACTACAAGAAACGTCTGACCTCTGTGATTGCCAACAAGGGTTTTTCCACCAAGTACTAAGTCATGTTTTGCAGAGGGGTCAAATACTTATTTCCCTCATTAAAATACAAATCAATTTATAACATTTTTGACATGCGTTTTTCTGGATTTTTTGTTGTTGTTATTCTGTCTCTCACTGTTCAAATAAACCTACCATTAAAATTATAGACTGATCATTTTTTTGTCAGTGGGCAAACGTACAAAATCAGCAGGGGATCAAATTTTTCCCTCACTGTACATGTGCCTGGAGTCTCAGCGGTAGAGCGAGTGGCACAATTGGAAGGTTGCGAGTTCATATGCCCGTTGGGGGAGTTCACTCGGACCATCATCCCTCCTGGTGTCAACAAAATTAATGCCACTTTGGGAGGTAGTCAACATAAAATTAAACTACAACAATTTGTATAGTCTTTGGTTCTTTCGGTAAAGTCACGTAGATAGAAAACTTATAAATAAAATAAAGTGAATGTAAATAATTATATTATTAATAACCAGGCTACAGTATATTTTTGTATTCACTTTATTTTTATTATTATTTTTCTAGCTACGTGACTTACCGAAAGAACCAAGGAATGTGAATTCCTGCAGTCACGAACGTTTTAAGTAAAAAAATGACATTTTTATTTTACCAGGCGAGGCCCACTGAGCTTCATGGCTCTTTTTTTGCAGAAGCGACCTGGCCACGTGATAGCTCAACTAAAGAGTGGCTTATCACGTGGAAATGTATAGCAGCCAAATACTCTGAATGCATGTTTCTAAATGTGGTGAGGGAAAAACCGGAGGACCCTGAGAAAAATCCACACTACGGCGAGATAGACACGCAAACTCCAAAT